ACAGCTGGTTGATACCAATCCCCAAACCAGGAAAAGACCACTCGGCTCTCAGTAGTTACAGGATGATAGCCATGCAGAACACCTATGAGAAAATTTTGGAAAAGATAGTTGCCGGACGAATATCGGCACACTTGGAGAGGAAGTCCCTGCTGCCAAATGAGCTTGGCAGCTATAGACCCCATCGAGAAACCTCAGTGAATGCGGCTGTCATGGCGTACGACATCTATGAAGGCTTTCAGCAGCGGAAGGAAACAGTTGTGACGGCACTTGACCTTGAGGATGCTTACAACCGAGTCAGCTATAAACGTTTGATCGACCGCCTCCTGGAATTTGATGCGGACATATGGCTGGTGAGGTGGGTAGCAGTAGCCCTGATGGAGAGAAAAATGGCCTTGAGACTGGGTGAATGGACTTCAGATCCGGTATCAATTGCTCCAGGACTGTCCCAAGGATCCCCCCTCTCTCCTGTGCTTTTCAATGTGTACACTGCACAAGTAACAATGCATCAGAAAGAATCTGGACGTGTCCTGAGCTTTGCGGATGACATAATGGCATACGAGCACGGAGATGACAGACTTCAGATGGCAAGGAACATGGACTTCACTCAGTTGTAAAATGGTGCGACCAAAATGAAGCAGTCATCAATCCTTCAAAGGCGCAGGTACTTTGGTGTTCCCTCAACAACAGGATTGTCCAAGACATAACTCCACCAATCCCTTGCAACTATGAGATTATCAACAGACAGATAGAGCTGAAGTATCTGGGAATCCTCTTCGACAGGTAGTTGTCCTTCAACAAGCATGTGAATCATGTGGTAACAAAGGCCAAACAAGGTGTTGGTGCAATCAAGACCATGGCGGTCGCTCTGATTCCGCAAAGAGTGCTCTTCCTGATGTTGCAGCTGGTCGTCCTGTCTGTCATTGATTACGGATTGGGCTGTCTCACGCTGTTCGACACACAGATCGCAAAGCTGGATCGAGTGCAGAATGGGGCAATGAGAGCAGTTCTGGGCTGCACCAAGGACACTCCAATATTGTGCGTGCGCTACTTGCTAGGTTTAAGTGGCATCAGAGTACGCCATAGGATAGCTCAGGCAAAGATGTATCTCAGTGTAATGGGCAAGAAGGATCATCCACTTCACAAAGCACTTCATGACAACAAGAGAGTCAGAATCAGGAGAGGAAAATCTTGGATGGCGGAAGCAGAGGATTCCCTGAGAACCATCTGTGTACCTGAGAGCCTACCACTAGGCGAAGAATGGGAACAGGTGGCCGGAGAATACAGGGACCTCACCAAGGTCAAAATAAGCTTGGGCAGAGACAGAAGAAATATTGCGGCTGCCATCAACGAGAGCGATATCAACGAGATTGTTGACACAAACTCAAAAGCAGGGGATCCTATAATTTATACAGATGGTTCAGTGAAAAGAGATAGCCAGAGAAGTGGATGAGGATTTGTTGCATTCGCCAACAATAAAATCATACACAGTGCATCTGGAGCCTGCAGCAGGGCTACATCAAGTATGCGTATGGAAATTGAAGCCATCACGAAAGCACTTGATTGGATGATCCAAGATCGCCCCCACACAACCCATGCTGTTCTTATCACTGATTCCATGTGTACCCTCAGAAGGATCGAAAAAGGTTTCCTGACAACAGAATGGACTCAAGCTATTGAACCATCGCCTATACGATCGCTCACATGGATTTTCTGCCCTGGCCATTCAGGTGTTAGAGGAAATGAAAGGGCCGACAGATTGGCTGGTGAGGCCACCTTAGTTGACAATACGGTTCAACCAGATAGAGTCGAGATCCTGAAATGTCTCTCTCGCCAGCTGATTGAGGAGGAGGATAGGGAGGCAGAGGCCAGTACTGCCGTGGAGATGATGATGCTTTTGGGAATAAAAAAAAGGAAGTGGAAAATCTGGCATCCTTGCAGGAAAGAACAGAAGAATGTTCAACCAGATGTGCACTGGCACAATCAGTAGAAGGACTCTCGGCAACATTTGGAGAGAGCAATTGAGCATCAATGGACATGTCCGGAGTGCAGGGATGTTGCTTCCTGAAACAAGAACAAGAACAATCGTATACAGTCTGTTTTATACTGAATTGATTTAATTTATTATGACCAGGTTTAGCCATGTGCCTTTTCAATTTCTTTGATAGTGTTTCATTCAGTTGTTTGATATTTGTTTCAATTCATCTCATCATGGGTCGAGTTCTCATTTTGTGAGTACATTTTGACAGTCAATCCTGCTCTAACGGCCACTTGTATAAGACAATCACCTGTACAAATGGCCACAACTTTTTTCCTCCCTTGTGTATTTTTTACATTGAAATGACACCCTAAGACAGCCACCTGCCCAAGACAACCACTTTTCCCCTTGACAATGAGTGGTTGTCGCAGACAATTTTGACTAGTTCCTCAAGGTTAACTTCAATAATCCATTTCAGTCCAGTTAATTTTTGAGAATGCTCTTTGTGGGGTAAATATAGTTTTTAGAAAATATTCCTTGTTTCATTGGTACACAATTCCATTGGAAGAGAAGGAAGAGCCAGAATTTGGAAATTTCAAGCATACAGCTAGAAATGATGCTATTTCATACCATTTATTTTACTTATGTCCCGCAGTGTTTTGATTTCCAGGATACTTTGCAACTACATCAGTCGAAATTATCTAAGAAGGCCACCAATTGTTGAGGAGAAAAGTAGCCATCTTAGGCAGGTGTACGTATTACACAGTGCCATTATTCATTACAATGTTTTTAAAAAATGCACGTTGAGAAATAGAAGTGGCCGTTTGAGCAGGTGATTGTCTTGTACAGGAGCTCGTTAGAGCAGGTTCAACTGAATTACCACTTTTTCTCCTCAGACTATTCAAGGCAAATCTAAGGTAGTTGTCATTGGAGTAACCTGTGGCCTGTCTGCGCCCTTTGTTGCTGGACAGTTGGACTACTGTCTTAGCCACAGGGACGTGTGCACACCAGTGCTCCTGGGCTTTAACCCTTCACACATGGCCAGGTGAGGAGCACGCTTATGCATGCCTCTATTGTTGTTGTTGTTTTGTTCCAGTTTCTGAAGAAGATATGCTAGGCCAAAGAGCTCGACCTCAGATGGCTGCTGGATCAGAGAAATGAAATGAAGATGGAATGGCAAAGTTGCTGTTGTTGATGTTACCATTATTATTAATGTATTTATTGTTTTCAAGCATATTTTCATACTGTATTTCATTTTGTACTTACAAATTTTGATTTTATTATCTGTTTAGGGTAACAGTATTAATTAAGTTTGTTCTTTTTTACTGGACAAATATTGTTGTTTTCCTGTACAACTATTGTGAGAGTCTTTTTCCATTTTAATCTTGATGGCTGCTTTCTTAAACTAAGTTTGTCATCCTACCATTTGGAGTAAGAAAATCTTAGCACTGTTGAAAATTTATGTTTTGCATTATACAGCTTTCTTTGAGTTTGTTTACTTTCCATTGTTGCTTTGAGCATTTAAGTAACCTTGGTTGAGCTCTCCATGTATGGTAAGAAAAAGAATCTCTAGTTGGTACTTTTATTATATCATTGATCAGAGTGTCCCTCTTTTTTACTTGGTCTTTGTTTTGTTTTCCAGAAATATAGACATTCAAAATTGGAACAAAACCTTTTTAGATGGTGAGTTCATTGAAGGTGCTCTGTGATGTGATCTTATGAACCAAAGAAATGTCTGTCTGACAATTCCCTTGACTTGTGTATCCTTCGAACAATCTTAAAATGAAATGTATGTTAGGTTACTGTAGACATAAGGAATAATTTCATTGGATTCACATTGGAGTAGATAAGTTGTAATGTATTGTGCCTTGACGTACTAGAAAGTGCTGTGTTTAGAGGATGTAGAGGAAGTTTCATGAAAGAATCAATAATAGAAGGTCAAGTTATTGGTCACATAAAAACGAAGTAAGGCTTGACCATATCTCACAAGCACAAATAATGTTTCTTTAGTGGAGCCCAGATTAACCTTACTATTGAAATTCTTTTTTTGTAAAATTCCTCATTATTATCTGTAAATGTACTTATTTCTTTTTTTTGTTTTTAAATTAAAATCTGATTTGTTGGTAGATTTTAATCAATTACTTTTCTTTTTCTTTATCTGTAGTTGTAAAACAAATGGAAAAGGCAGAAAAGTCAGGGGCAGGATTTATTCTCAACCCTGTCATTGGGGTGAGTAATTGTGCTGACTTTTTGTTTTGTTGATGTGGTTAGAGAATAATTTTATGTTCTTACAACTAATGTCCTTATTATACAGTAAGTTGTGGGACTTTTAATTACTATTCTGCTAACTTGTGTACATGAATACTCCTTCTTAAAAATTTTTCTTCTCTCCATTTTTTATTCTCTTAGTCTTTCATAATCTTTTTTACTCCTTTCTTGGCCACTTCCTCTGGTCTCAACAATTATTTTAATCAATTTATAGTAGTTCTTTGTTCATCTTTCCATGTCATCATTATACCCTTAAAAGGATAGACATTTAGACATTCTTAATGATATGCTTACATTTACATCATTACCCTATCTCCCCCCCACCCCCACTCCCATTCACTAAACCCTCCCAACCTGCTTTCTCCCTCTCCCCTCCCCTCATACCGTAATCTCTCATTCGATACCCCCTCCCCTGCTTTTCAAACACACTGACACACACACACACACACACACACACACATATATATCCCGCCACCCCTCTGTGCCCACCCCTATGTCATTATTATCTCCCTATTCCCCCACATCTCCTTGTCTCT